GCGAATTGCGACCAGGAATATCAGATCCAAAACGTGAAAATAAGAAAAACAAATTCCAAAATGAAAAAGAACATGTCGCAATCAGAGATCTCAGATCGTCTGCTTTTGGCAGAAAATTTCTGAATTTTGAACCTTTTTTGCCTTGTTTCTGCTTTTTTGTACCAGAATACTAACGCTTGTCTGATTTTGGAATTTGTTTTTCTTATTTTCACGTTTTGGATCTGATATTCCTGGTCGCAATTCGCTTGTATGTTCGAAATATAAATCGTGAGTAAGAGAATTAAAATGGCGGATTGAATGACATGTCGTTAAAAGTTTTTTACTGTATGACTCTTTCGTTTAAAGGGCATAGTTTAATATTTTCTAAACGAAAGATAACAAATAATATTGCATAATATCGTAAAAACCATCAGCGATATAAATGTGAAATAAACGAACAATGTAATGACGTAGAGCAACAGAGTATGCGACTAAGACATTAATCAGAGGAATTTGGGTATCTGATCAATTAGAGATCGACTGAAACCCTCCCAAAAAAAAGTCTATGTCCATTACAGTACTTACTCTCTTTACATCCTCTCGTTTGACTAAAAAAAAATGTCAGCGAATTCCTGTTAAATTCTCAGAAAATAGAGACAATTTTCCAGAAATTAATTTTCTTTTAGAGAAAATCAAATACTGTTTTTTTAAAAAACCAGTTTGACTTTCTGTAAAATCAGTCGATTCTTCAATTTTTCCAAAAATCAAAAAACGTTTACTATCACTTAAAGAATCAAGACGATTTTTCGGACTATTTTGAAGACCAAAATTCTTGAAAATCGACTCGATTTTTAACAAAGTAGAAGATAAACATTGTCAGCATTCTTTTAAAATCGTTCATGATTTCATAAAATCTCTAAAATCGTTTCCAATTTTCAAAGTCGATTTTCTTTAAATTAAAAGTAAATCAGATAAACAGTGTACTGATATATTTGAAGCAAAATTAAAATTCAGAGATACAGCACGTTAAACGTATTTTCTTAAAGACGAGAAACTGTGGTTTTACGTATAAATTTTTTCCAACAGTTACGATTATCAAATGTACTGGTTTACAGTTGCATACCTAATTACGAATGGTGATATGTGATATTTTTCAAGAAATATCGATGATGGGTTATAAACTTATGAAATCAGATGGATACTTATTATCCATGAGGTAGTACCTAAATAATTGTTTTCCTTTGCTGTGGAATGACAAGAACTGCTTATGGATTGAAACCTTTAACTTGCAAAGTCCGACAAATTCAAAATTCAAAACTGGTGTATTATAAAAGTATTTGTTCCGATAACGATAGGTATCTCTTTGTGCAATTACAGGTTTAAATAAATTGTCAGTCACTTCGATTGAACATGTGGAAGAACAGTCGATGAATATATTCAGAGAAAATGTTCAATAATTAATTCTTTTTAATAAAAAAACATCTTAATAATTTAAAATTAGTATTAAACTGTTATTAAGTTAGCTTTTATATTCTTGTTACTTGTACGTTTTTTGTGTCTGTCTAAAAGTTGCGGCATCTGTTGATGAAATATAACGTTTATTTTTACTTCTCCTTACTACTAGTAACTATAGTAAAAATTCGAAATATGGCTATTTTACTTCTCATTTTATAAAGAAAAAAAGAAACACGAGTGAAGAAATGTTGAAGAGTAATAGTTTCTTTGAAACGGATTTTCTTAATCAATAGTATAAGGATTTAATGAGTACATCAAAGGTGGCAAACGGCTTATCACCAGAATTATACTACTTTCAAATTTTAATTCGATCAAGATCCTATATTACTGAAAAGATAATATTTTGGATATATTTTTATGCAACGGTATGCACAATAGAGCTTTTTGGTTTTATCCCCTACAATTGAAAATTGCAGTTGAAGCGAGGAAATCAGGCTACAGGTACTTAGTACGTGGCATTGTTGTTCCATTAAGTGTTTTTTTTTTTTCTAAGTAAAATTCGACGAATAATCTAAAGGCGCAAAAGCTCCTACGTTTTCAGATTTTATCTCCAATGCAAGTTAGGATACATTAGAAAATATAATTTCACGTATGCGCACGAACATTCAAACTCGTTCGGATTTTAAATGAGTACGAATCGAATGCGTTAAAACCATCAAATGTAATACATTTAACACTTCTATTCACTCCATTTCAGTAACGTAATCTGACTCGTTTTTAATTCTTACCTTCCTTTTTTCTTTCTAGTCATTTTTTATTCTACAGATGGATCTCAAGATTCACTTAGTTATAGGTTCACTAGGCACTACTCATCAGTACCATTATGGTAGATTATAGTCTCTTATGACTGTGTATAGGAAGAAAGAAAGTTGGAAAATCTTTTGGATTAGTGTATTAGAAACCTCATAAGAAAAGGCGTGGTTCAAACACACAAAAATGGTCAAACATACAAAAATTTTAAAACTACACTTCTGTACATACGTCCCCCAACCAGACAAACTTTTTCGAAAACGCGTTTAAGCGCACAAAAAAAGACGAAAAATCTAGAAAAAGTGGGCGTGTTTGGATGACAATCGGGGTTTCCGACTGTGAGCGAAAAACGCCCATCTTTCTCCCTTCTGGTGTGTTTAAACGCGTTTTCAGCCCAAAACGCGTGTAAATGCATAAAAAAAAGAGAAAAACTGGTCGTTTTTCTCATAGTCGTTACCAGTGACGGGATCATAATTAGGGTTCTCGAGTATGAAAAAAACGACCACTTTTTTTATGCATTTACACGCGTTTTTGGCTGAAAACGCGTGTTAAACGCACCAGAAGCGGGAAAGATGGGCGTTTTTCGCTCACAGTCGGGAACCCCGATTGTCATCCAAACACGCCCACTTTTTCTAGATTTTTCGTCTTTTTTTGTGCGCTTAAACGCGTTTTCGAAAAAGTTTGTCTGCTTGGGTCAATGCAATGTTTTTCGAAGACTAAATTGCAGTTCAGAAACAACTTATACATATAGTGTTTTGGAGAAAATAGAATCGATTTGACTTTTTGTGTAACTTTACAGATTTCTCCTCAGCGTTTGACCACTGGCTTTTCGATTAAAGTAAAATTCTAGTTCAGCGGTGCACTCAGACGGTTCGGTTACCACTTTGCGATATTCATGCAAGCGTACTTGCATTCTAATTTGTTGCACTATTAAGAAACACATGGGCAATTTAAGAGATTATTATTTATCAAATTTTTAGTTGATACGACTTTATAGATAAATTCTCGAAAAGCTCTTTTTCTAACATTTTTCAGAGGAACATGTAGAATTTGTTGAACATTTTCTGGTGCTTGTGATATAATTTATCTTATAATAGTTAAAATTCTTTTAATAAACATCAGGTATATGTGCTCAGAGAAGCATTTAGGTTTTTTTGTTTTTTATTGAGCTATAGAAGCATATATTTCCTCTAGTGACGAATCTTTATATGACAAGTAGAGGGTGTGATTGCGTCTTTTTTAAAAAATTGATGATTATAACGATGTTAGTGGATTGTGTATTGACGCTCTTTGATTATTCTATGCATATATGTATATATACAAAAACGTTTCTACGGATTCAATTTTTGAGTAATATTTAATTGACTTCTGGCTTTTGTATGATGTCATACTCTAAAATTATGCACAAAAATATTTTTATTCCATTTTATCTAATGTTTTGATGTCCTTCTATGAATATTTATTAGAAAAGACGTTTAGCTTTCGTATCTACTTTTTGACTGTAATTATGTCCGTTGTTCCTTTCACATAGACGTAATTATATATGTGTGTGTGTATATATATATATTTAAGGAGTTTAGAAAAGTAATTTGATTTAAAAGCTTAAATTAAAAGAGAGGAAGACGAAAAAGTCTCTTTGTCTATTTCTTATGGAACACCCATACAACAAACAAAGGATGCAACGAACAGTTTCAAATTTTTTTATGTAAAAAAAAGAATGAAACCTAACTATAAAATAGACAATAAATCAAGTTGATCGACAACAAAGGCAAACTATGTATATGTTTGATTTGAGAAAAGTGTGAGATAAAGAAAAAAACACAACGAGAAGCCAACTATGGCACGTTAAATATACTATGACGAGTTCTTTTCAACTGTAGACTATTTCCAATGCTAAAGAGCACTGTAAATCTTTTTTGTTTGTTTCATGTTTTATACTGGGCATGGTTAAACTGTCTTCCTTGTTTGAATGTTGAAAGATTTTCTCTCAATTTATGCGCCATTCGATTTATAATATACCATGGTTTTGGTTGTTGAAACGAAACAGAATACTAGTTTCACAGTAGGACAATTATGTTAATCATGTATTTTTTCTTTCTATCGGCACAAAACAACCTTGCATAATGATGACAACTTGTCTTTCTTTTCTAGATATAGAGAAAAAAACTGGATAAAACTCCATGGATATTATGTAAACAAGTTAATTGAGTATTGTGATGCCTACAAAAAGTGAACACCGTCTTGGACGTGAGGTGATTGATGATATTGTGGATAAACCCACAAATCCATTTACATCACATTCAACATTAGCATTGGATTATACTAATACAAATAATAATTCATTATCTAAAACATTACCAAGTTCATTAAATTCATTGAATCAACGAACATATTCTAGTTTCACAAATCTTCCATCGATGTATAAATCTGCTACGAATTTATTAACTTCTTCTACCACTACTGAATTACGTGATCGTTTGCATTTAACATTGCCTCGTTCGAGTTCTTCGACAACCGCCAGCATCCAACAACAATCGTTATCAAATGATGAACGACGAAAAGAATTAGAAATGATAATACGAAGTTTATATGAGAAAACAGATACAAACAATGATGAACAACAACAGTTCAACGGAAATTTAGATTCACATTTTTCTATGAAAAGTACAAACCAAGATCAAACGTTAAATTCTAACAATTGGACATCAACATTTACTAATAATAACAATGGAGAAGATAAACTAAATAATGCAAATGAGGTGAATATAGTTTCTGTGCTATTATATTCTGTGCTTATTATTATTTTGAAAATAACTTTTTGTTATTTTTTTTTGTATTTAAGATTATAACATTAGAAGATTTAAATGAGCATAGTTCGTCTAATGGTAGTTTATTGCAGCGTGAATTAAAGGAAAAAGAACTTGACATCGTTCATTTACAAAAAGAATTGCAAGAAGTCCAGTTAGAAAATAAATTAATTAAAGCCAAATTGCCAGGTGTTTCGTATCAAAATGGAACGAATAAAACAGATGATGAAGTAGGTAGATAAAACATCTCAACATTCGCTAATCGTAACTGTTAGATATGTGTGTGACCAAGGTTTCTTGATCACGGCTGTGTCAATTGTTTGTTAAACGTTACAAACACTGCGGTCACGAAAAATCTTCTCAACGCCTTTATACACTTTTTTCTCCGACAAGAAGTATTTAAGTTAAGTGTTTGTAGGAGAAAAAATAATTATTACACCTGAAATTAGTGGAACAATTCAACAAAAAATAATTATTCAAGCAAATTGGTAAAGAATTTTGTCCATCATCTTTTCTACTTTAAGTTTCCGTGATTGTGACAGTGACGCACATCTCTATTAACCGTCTACGTTTAGAATAATCCAGAAGCTGAAACGTTACGTCGTGAGAAAGATATACTGGAGAATGAATTAAAAAAATCTCATGAATTAATTGCAAAATTACAACAATCACCAATTCAAAAAACACCAGTTTATTCGAAAATTGACGAAATAACATTACATCAAAAAGAAACATTGGAAAAAAAATTAAGTATGTTGATGCAATTAGCTAGAAGCTTCATATATCCTAGACGAATATACCAAATTGAAAATTCTTTTTTAGAATTATACGAAAGACAGCTTACAATTTTAACGCAAGAGAATGAAAAATACAACCAACATTTTTATCAAACAGATCGAACAATTCAACAGTTGAAACGAGAAAATGAAGAATTACAACAGAAGGTAATCGTAATTTCAAGTATTCTTTAAATGATCATGAAAAAACGAAATTTTTTTAAGTAGAAAATATCCAAAAAATTATCAATATTATTGTCCTATAACAATTATAGTTTCTCCTCTTATTTTCGTCATCGACAGGTCAAATTAACAATTTATTTTATAATGGCACCAGTACACATCTAGGTTGCATGCTAACATCTGGACATAATGTCTAGTTCGCATGTTTCTTTATACTACACAAAAGCAGAAAAGTAGGCACTTATATCGCTCAAATGTATTGTGCATAGAAAACGTTTCGTCCATAGATCATAGTGCCTTCTAACACATTGAAAATAGTGTTGAAAATAAATAACTATCATTAGACCGTTCTTTCTAGGTTTCAGAAGTTAAAAAACGAAATGAGGAAATACTATATCAAGAATTCAATACGTTAAGATCGGATCTAAAGTATGGAAAATTTCAAAAACACGAAGTATGTCGATAGTGTATAACATTATTGTTTTTCCATGTAGAATGTTAAAACAACGTAATGATGAATTATTCGAAGAAAATCGCCGATTACAACTAGAACAACGAAATGCGAATTATCGTACAACGTATAGACCACCATCACCATCTTCTTATAACAATGGAAATATCAATAATCCGAATCTTTATAACCAAGTATCAGCATCTGAAAATGTTGTTCCACCACCTTCAACCTATTCACGCTCGAAACCTCCTCCACCATCTGTCACACAACGATTATCAGCGAACGATCGACGAAAAGATGCAAATGGACTTGAATCATCGAATTATCAAGCAAAATGTAAATATGTTATTAAAATTCGCTTATCTAATTTTATTTGATTTATTTCATTTTTAGCATCAAATCTTCGCAGTGATAGTCCAACATCAGAAACAAGTGATTCAACTCAATATTTAACATCCATATCCGTTGAACGTTATACACGACCACACTCAAATCGTCCTCAAAATAGTCGCGAACAAAAATACGATCAAATACCCATATCAAGATACCCAAACAGATTGTCTATCGAAGAATTACAATCGACAGATATTTCTAACAACAAAAATAACGGTGCTAAACGCATTGTCAAGAAAAATCGTTCAGTAGAATGGAATAACGTTCCAAACGATGATAATAACAGTGAAGGTATGCGTATAGATTCTTGTTGTCAATATTTTTCAGTCACAATGGTGTGTGTAACACTATAAACTTCTACTTTAAGGTTTTAACGCATGCATAACGCACTTTCAAAATACATTCACATACAAGTAAACAGTAACTTGTAATTTATCGAGTGCAAAAAAATCTTCAAATATAAATTTGTACGTTATCTTGTAATCAAGCTTCTTCTACTTAAGCACAGTTCCCAAGTCTATAGAAATTAAATATATCGAAAAGTTAGGTTTGCTCTAATTGGTCGAACGAGATTTATTTCTTACGCTGGTATTTAGCTATCTACAAGCATGCTTTATTTAAGTTTATGTCATTCTCACGATATTAGTGTTTAGAATTTTGATTCGAATTCACATTACCTGAATCAACGTTTATCCAGTGAGCATAAAAAGTTTCAGATACTTTTTGAAAGTTCAAACATTTAATGTAAATTTGATATAGCTTTATTATAATGAATTTATATCAAATTATTGTAGACCCATACAGATATGCATTGGTCAGATACATAGGTAAAATTGATTTTAAGTAGGCATACTTCTCGTTTAGTGTATCTAATCTAAGTATGCACACAACTTTAGCAGTGTAGCTAATGGGAGAAAAGAGAAGAAAGATTGCCTCTCCACTAGATGTTTTCGCTCATGCTAATTCACACTACTTCTTTGGTACATGTATCACATAGCTTCTACTTCTACTGCCGACTAGAGAGAATGAGTACTACCTCTGAAGATCGAATGAGAACTATGCGTACAGTAAGGAATAGTCCAAGTTTCCAAGGTTGAGAGTTTCTGTACGGTTAAAGCAAATTTATTGAGTATGATGATTTTCGCATTTTTAAGTGACTTCAAAATACAAATACTCAGGCAAAAGTCTTCCAACTAAAACACCTAGATGCTTTATCTGGCGTATATATCATATGATCTAGGTCAGTCATCGAATTATCTAGCTCCATTGCTCATGTATAGCGCGTTTTACCACTGGAAAAAAATTAGAGTAACTCCCGTCCTTTACAGCAAAATACTGGTAGTCGGCTATGCTATAGTCAACTTCTTCACAAATTACGTTTCAACATTACCTTCCTATCCTCACATTTAATTTTTGCCACTTTGTAACACAGTTTGCACTAAAGTCATATGTTTTCATCTGTCATTCCACCACTGTTGTCTACACATACTGTAAAATTGTAAAATCATAGAATGGTCCGATAAAAAAACAAAAGTACTCAGGTCAATGAATTCGATGGTAGGATAGGATCTATCAAATCTAAGTACGATTCTATAGGAAAGGCATAGGACAGTTTTTTTCGGTTTCTTTTCTAGTCTCTAAATCAAGACTAGGATGAACCTAATAACAGCTGAGTGAGTTTCCATGTTGATGCTCACACTGTTTACTGCGGAAATTTGAGTTTATTCAACTGGAGCTTTTTTTTTTCAGTGTCATATTTATAATTGTTTCTCTGAGAAACAAAAAGGTGAAAAGATTCATGCAAAAAAAAAACACAGAATAGAGAAAAATACAAATCCTATGATATCCTATCATATGTAGGATCTTCCATAGGATTCATTGACCTGGGTGTTATTGATGAGAGAGTAATTCTTTTGGTGCTGTCCCACACTTTATATGAGCGTCTACCGCAAACATCGAGACATATCTCATTTGAAAGAGCATTTAATTCTGAGTAAGAATGTGTCATTTAAAAGTTTTGAAACATCGGCCTGGGTTCTGCGATGGTCCGACATTTGGGTATTTTATAGGTTTCAAGACGCAATTCATAGCTAATTATTCTCAGAAATGACAAAAGCGACAAACCTGAAAGCTTTAGGATATAGACTAGAGACAACAAGGAATAAAATGGCT